TTTTTTTTGAGTTGGAGTCTCACTCTGTCGCCCAGACTGGAGTGCAGTGGCCGCTCCCGGCCACCACAGCCTCGCCTACTGGACTCCGGCGATCCTTCCGCCTCAGCCTTACGAGTAGCCGGAATTACAGGCATGCGTTACCATGCCCGGCTGATTTTTTGATTTATTGTAGAGATGAGGTCTCGCTGCCCAGGTGGGTCTCGAACCCGCGGGCCCAGGCAATCCACTCACCTCAGCCTCCCAAAGGCGCGGGATTACAGGCTGAGCCACCGAGCCCGGCGAAATCATTTTTAATATCAAAAATGAGTACTTATGACTTAATAAAACTCAGATTTACAAAGAAAGAGCTAGAGGACATTTTAAGGGTTGAAGAAAATGGTGCCATGGATCGCTTGTCTTGTCATACCTTCCTCCTGTGAAGAGCCCTCTTGTGACACAGACCTTTGACTGTGAGGTGGGATGGAGACTGAAATTCTGATATGAGACCAGGATCCCTTGAAATATTCCCTAGGGTCCAATGTGGAGTAAGACCTTTCATAAGCAGAGAAGCCTCCTGTCTTTGCATAAACTATTTCCAATTTTTTACCATCACTGTCACAGTAGTGACCATAAATACATTACAGAAGACCTGTAATCCCTTACATTTTCTCAACTGCTTATGCCCTGGGGTTCTCATAGGATCTTAAAGAATGGGAGAAGCTGAGGAGCTTCAAAACATACCTGGACTTGGATTTTCCTCTCCTCTTTGGGGTAGTTCAAATGATGCTTAATTTGATTTAGAAAAAAATTAGTCATGTTTCCTGGACAACAGGGTCATGGAGTCTAGCTAAATCATGTCATTCTTTGTTGACTTACCTTGTGTTTTCTCCAAGCTTTTAATGTCCTATTTGATTCACTAGACTACAGGAAATAATATTAAGTGGTCAATATCTACCCTTGTGTAGTAAAGAGACACCACTTATCTGAGACCAGCATGGAAGTGCAGGGCCAAGCAATCTCATGAGTCAAGAGTTGAGGTAAGACCCTGCTACCCCTCCCATGAGAATCTGTTTCCTCCATTTCCAACCTTGGAGGGTGCTGTAAAGGGATAACACAGAGGGATTGGGTTGATCTAAACCTACATGTCTCAAAGAAATAACTGGCCCTTGACTGGTTCCTAGGATATGACCTCTGAGCCCTTAAAAAAGCCTGCCTAAGAGTGTCTGTAGACCGGGGACATTGGGCCACACCAGATAGTCTATGCTAACCATGTGATCTACGATGAATGCCTGAGGCCCTGAACCATACTGTATCAGACTGACCTCTAGGGAGAGACTGAAAAATGAATAAAGTTAGTGTGTGCTCCATGCCTCTGATAGAACCCCAGTAAAAACTCTGGACATCAGGGTTAGGTGAGCTCCCCTGGTTGGCAATTCTTCACATGTGTTGTTACATATCATTGCTGAAAGAAGCAAGCGTGGTCTACAACTCTACTGGGAAGGAACAGAAAACTCACATCTGGTCTCTCCTAGACTGCCTCACACACCTTTTGCTGATTTTAATTTGTACCTTTCACTGTAATAAACCAAAACTGTGAATATAACTTTTCTCATTCTCTGAATCTTCCTTATGAATCACTGAATCTAAAGGTGGCTTTGGAGAACCCCTAACACAGAGACCATGAATACTGTTTTATTATGAGAAACAGTGGTTTTTCTTTACTCTCTCTTTCTTTACTACTCCTTCAGGAAATAAGTAACATGGGTGACCCCTCTTCTTATTGAAGCTAAAGCTTCTCTCCCCCACCCCCGCTGCTTACCACCCTCCTTCAGGTTCTCAGCATATGCTCAGAGATAAGTAGAGACTTTGGATACCTTTCATTCCTGCTCTTTTATTTCAGATTCCCTCCCCCCCAAACAAGCCAAGAAGAACATATGTATTCAGCCCATGGTCAGTTGGGCGGCAGACTGTCCCCAGAACTCCCCTCCCCGGCCCCCTCACTCCTCCCTAGGTGGCAGAGCTGGGGGCCCTCACATAACACTCTCGTTGCCTCCCCGTCCCCGGGACGCCCCCTTCTCTTGTGCCATGAGTGACTTGTAGGGCTTCCCCAAGCTGGGGAGGGTGAGCTCAGCTTCCTGCAGCTCCAGCTCCCGCTGAGACAAATGCTCAATGACGGCCGCTCCGATGGAGTCCCCCAGCACGTTGGTCATTGTGCGAAGCCGGTCCCTGGTAGAACGGAGAGAGAAGCTGCCATTATTTGGGGCTTGAAAAGTTCCACATGGGAGAGGATGCAGCAGGGTGGGGAGGGGGCTTCCTGTGCTGGGGAGTCAGGAGGACACATACCCCAATACCATCCATGACCACATGACCTCAAGGAAGTCCTTCCCTCTCCCTATCCTCAGTTTCCCCTCCTAACAAACTCAGGTTGGACCAGCTCTGAGATGTTCACATTTGAATTTTGCAATGTGATTAAAATACACACACAGACACACACACACACACACACACACACACACACACACACACACACACACTCACTATGTGAGACAGAGATAGATAGATAGATAGATAGATAGATAGATAGATAGATAGATAGATAGACAGATAGATATATGAATGATACTATTAGGGGTCATAAGCTGAAAAACAGGACCAGGAAGGTTAAACAAGGCCAGGCCTGAGTCAATTAAGGTATTGATCAGGACAGGCTGGAGACTGTCAAATGGGACTCAGGCCCAGCTGATATAGGGGTGTAGGGGTGAGCATAGATTTTTAAATGTAAACCTCTTGTTTTTAAAAGTTAAGAATTTTTTTAAAAAAATGCAGCCAGGTCCAGTGATACACACCCATAGTCCCAGCTACTGGGGGGCTAATGACGAACCCAGAAGTTCAAGTACAACCTGAGCAACATAGCGAGACCCTATCTCTAAATATGCATTTTTTATTGGCAAGCCATATCTTAATATTTGCAAGCCCATATCTTAATATTTGCAAGCCATATCTACCCCACAGATCGCCTTTTTGAGACTTCTACATAAAACAACTAAAAGCAGAGTTTTTCTGGCTGATGGGTAGAGCCCCCAATGCTTGTCTCTTCCCTATCCTACTTCTCAAGGATAACTCAGTAAAATTTGGCATCCAGGCCACGGCTTGGAGTAGTTTCCAAAGCCCCCATTGCACTCTAAAATTCTGGAACTCTGCATTTTTGCTGAAATAAAAGTCCACAGGATGAGGATTTTGCAGGGAAAAGCAGGGTATGGGAGAGACAGAGCCAGGGTCCAACCTAAAGAACACTCACAGGAACCAGTCCACAGCTATGATGAGCGTGATGTCCTCAGTGGGCAAGCCGACCGACGTGAGCACAATTACCATGGTGACCAGCCCCGCCTGGGGGATGCCAGCAGCCCCAACGCTAGCTGCTGTGGCCGTGATGCTACAAGTGGAGAGAGAGCATGGGGAAGCAGGAGGGAAGCAAAAGGAGAGAGATGAGGACGAGAAAGGAAAAGACATGCAAAAGGGAAGGGATCCACACCCCAAGGCATCTTAAACTAAAGACCCAAGCCAGACACAGAAAGAAAAATACTGCGTGATCGCTCTTACATGTAGAATCTAAAAAAAAAAAAAGTTATGTCAGAGAATAGAAGGAAACAGCATAGAATTGGTTACCAGAGGTGATGGGGAATTGCAAGATGTAGTTAAAGGATATAAAGTTGCATTTATGGAGGATGATTAAATCCAGAAATCTACAGTACTGCGTGAGGACTATAGTTAATACTATTGTGGTGTATGCTAGAAATTTTCTAAGATAGTAGATTCTAGGTGCTCTTGCTTAAAAAAAAAAAAAAAAGAGAGAGAGAGAAAAAAAGATAATTACATGAGATGACAGATACGTTAAAACTGCTTACCTGTAGGGATCATTTCACTATGTACAGTATAGGTACATCAAAACATCATGTTGTATACCTTCAACTTACACAATAAAAATTAATTTCAAAAAACACTTTGCTACATGCAAGAAATTAATTAAATTCTCAAAAATAAAAAGCAAATCCCCAAGCTACTTTCACTGAGGGCCAATGCAGGTGAATTCCCCTTGCCCTTTCCAGCTTCGTGTTGGAAGTCACGTTTAAACAACTCGTATTATCGATGCAAACCCATTATATGTGGAATATTATATATGGAATCAGCTATAACTGGAGACTAGAAAAGTACAGAAGCAGCAGCCATGAGCCAGCAGAGCAAAATCCCTGGCTATACATTCACTGAAGTAGGTGATCAGTGCAGCCAGCTCCAGGTGCTGGGAATGGAACTCTGAAGGTGGTTTGAGTTTAGAACCAAGAGAAGAAATTGTCCACAGTGCTGAGGAAATGGAAATATACATATATGGGGATGGGGGCTAGGTAGCTAAAAGATAGAACAGAGGGTGAACAATAAAATAGATAGTGACCTACCATCAGGTAGAGGGTCACACACCTCTTAGGACAGTTGTTATCAAAAAATCAACAGATAGCAAGTGTCGGCGAGGGTGTGAAGAAGAGGGAACCCTTCTAGAATGTTGGGGAGAATGTAAATTATTACAGCACTATGAAGAACTACATGGAGGTTCCTCAAAAAAATTAAAAATCATAGGCTCCGTTGGGCTCGGTGGCTCAGCCTGTAATCCTGTGCTTTGGGAGGCTGAGGTGAGTGGATTGCCTGAGCCCGCGGGTTCGAGACCCACCTGTGCAACTTGGCGAAACCTCATCTCTACAATAAATCCAAAAATTAGCCAGGCATGGTAGCGCACGCCTGTAGCTCCAGCTACTTGGAAGGCTGAGGTGGAAGGACTGCCGGAGCCCAGCAGGTTGAGGCTGCGGTGGCCGGGAGCAGCCACTGTACCCCAGTCTGGGCAACAGAGTGAGACTCCAACTCAAAAAAAAAAAAAAAAAAAATCATAGGCTCCAACAATCCCACTTCTGGGTATTTACCTGAAGAAAATGAAATCAGTACCTCCAAGAGATAACTGCACTCCCATATTCATGGCAGCATTATTTACAACAGCCAAGATATGGAAACCATCCAAGCTGGAGGAGATAACCCTGTCTCCTCCATTCATTCACAGACAAGTGGATAAAGAAAATGTGGTATATATACACAAAGGAATACTATTAAGCCTTTAAAAAGAAGGAAAATCCTGCCATCTGCAATAACATAGAAGAACCTGGAGGACATTATAAGTAAAATAAGCCAGACACAGAAAGACAAATACTGCATGATTTTACTTACATGTGGAATCTACATATGTTGAACTCATTGGAGCAGGGAGTAGAATGCAGGGTTTGTGCAGAGTAGGGGGATCAGGGAGATGTTGGTTAAAGGGTACAAGGTTGCAGTTATAAGTTGAATATGTTCTGAGGATCTAATGTCTGGCTTAGGGGCTATAGTTAATAGTACCATCTTGTACCCTTGAAACATACAAAGAGAGAAGATCTTAAGTATTCTCACCACAAAAAAGAAAAATGGTAACTATGAGAGGTGATTGGATATGTTAATTAGCTTGATTATAGTAAGCATTTCCCAATGTATACATATATCAAATCATCTTGCTGTAAACCTTAAATATATACTGTTTTTATTTGCCAATTATACCTCATTAACGCTAATAAAGTTTTAAATAATTAAAATTTCACTTTAACTAAACTAAGAAGTTTTAGGGAAAAAAACATAGAGGGTCAAGGATGCACTAGATTTTATCTCCTGCATCAACTCTGATTGCCTGGGGTGGTGTGCTAAGAAGGATTCTAAAGCTCTACTGATGGCCAGGCACAGAGCACGCTTATACTAGCATTTTGAGAGGCTAAGACAGGAGGATAGCTTGAACCCAGAAGTTCAAGACCAGTCTAGGCAACATAGTGAAACCTCGTCTCCACAAAAAATAAATAAATAAATTTTAAAATAGCCAGGCATGGTTGCCCATGTCCATAGTCCCAGCTACTTGGAAGGCTGAAGCAGAAGAATCGCCTGAGCCCCGGAGGTCAGGCTGTAGTGAGCTCTGGTGATCATGCCACTGCACTGCACTCCAGCCTGGGTGACAAAGTGAGGCCTAATTAAAAAAATAGAAATAAAAAATAAAGCCAGTGAGGTTACTTAGGAAAGACATTAGTGCCCTGTGGGTGCCTGCCTCTTCTTGGTGGCTTCAGAAGCCCTTCCCAGCTTCTATCATCGTCAACATGGAGCCACAGGAGATGCTTAGCCCAGATGATGGCTCTAACAGAACAATGATAAGCAAGTGCTTGGGCTGGTGGATAGAGAAGAGCCTTGAAGTCCAACAGATTCCACTCATGGGGTGCACAGCCTTGGACATAACTTAGTCTCCATTTCCTCATCTGTAGAAAGGGAGACATGCATCCACCATGTGGGGTTGTTTGAGTAATAAAAGAGAACAGTGCTAGCATGTAATAAATCATTCATAGGAATCAGTTCTTGCTATCAACAACATTTTTAAGAAGTAAATTTTTATTTTCTAAAAGGTCACTCAATTTCTCCTTAGTTTACCCTATTTGAACTTGGTTTCCTTAAAAAAAAAAAAAAAAAAATTTTAAGCACAGATTTTCATGAACAGATAACCAAGAAGAGACATTATTACCATTACCCTAGGTTCCTAAGTGAGTTATGAGTTAGCCCTGACATAAACCTTGCTCTGTGGGTGTCCTCAGGAGGCAGGAAACATGTTCTGGATGAAAGGAACTAATTCCACCCAGATCCAAGAAGACAAGTCAAATTTCTTTGGTTTAAGTTTAGATTAGATCTAAGCAAGTACTCCCCAGGCAGCCAACCACTATCTGCTACTAACTTTTGAAGCACTATCTGGTGAATCTCTAGCTGGCCGTCCACCAAGCTCTCTCCATAGAGTCTCCAGAAAAAGTTGCAAGTGTCCTAGTCCATTTAAGGACAACCCCTCAACAGTCTCCCAATCTTACCCCTTTTGATAACTTCCCTACTCAGTGTTTCCCATGAGATATGTTCATTGCAATGTTTGGGACAGTGACACCCCCCCAAAAAAGGTGTTCCTTTAAAATTATCTTTGTTATTATTTCCTGCATCCTTGACTTTTCCTAGAAATATGAGGGCTATCCCATCCAGCACATGTGCAAAGGCACTTTGTCCAAGAAGAATTACAGAGCATTCAATAAACTCATTCTTCCAACACATATTTATTTATATATTTATTTATTTTCGAGTTGGAGTTTCACTCTGATGCCCAGGCTTGAGTGCAGTGGCAAGCTCACACCCACCATAGCCATGACCTGCTGGGCTCAGGGGATCCTTCCACCTCAGCCTTCCAAGCAGCTGGAACCACAGGCATGTACCACTTGTGGGTTCAAGACCAGCTAATTTTTGATTTATTGTAGAGACGAGGTCTTGCCATGCTGTCCAGCCTGGTCTTGAACCCACAAGCTCAGGCAGTCCTCTTGCCTCTGCCTTCCAAAGTGCTGGGATTATAGGCATGAGCCACCGCACCTGGCTCAAACACATATTTATTGAGCATCTACTATGAGCTAGACACCTAGCAGAAATTCCCATAGAAGAAAATCCCTGTCTTACATTCTGGGGGGGAAGCAGGCAATAAGAAAGATAAATAGGTAAAGGACATACTAAGGCTATATAGGGAAATGGTGCAGCCTTAAAAAGTCCAGATGTACCACTGAAAACAAAGCTTCCCTGAAAAGGTAACAGTGAAGCCAAGAGCTGAAAGAGATGATAATGTTTGCTGTTATATTTATAATGACTAAACCAGAACCTCTGGATGAGGGGGCCCAGGAACCTATATTTATATACAGAACCTCAGGTTATTAGGATACACCAGCCACATTTTGGAAAACACTGAACACAGGGATCTTCCACAATGGCATGTGAGAGGAGAAATGACCAGAATATCTTGCCAGCTCCTGTCTCCTCAGGTGGTAAAGTCTCACGTTTTGCCTCATCTGGCACAGAGTTCTTCCCACATCCCCTCTCCAATATCCATCCGAGGTTCCTATGGGCTCCAGCTATGGGTCCCTCCTTCCCCAAGCCATGTCACTCAAGCCACCTCACCTGATGGTTGTGATCTGGCCCAGGTTGAGCTCGTAGTTGTTGACTTGAGCAATGAAGATGGCGGCCAGGGCCTCATAGAGGGCAGTGCCATCCATGTTGACTGTGGCCCCCACGGGCAGCACGAACCTGGTGATGCGTCGGTCCACCCCTAGGCCCTCCTCCAGGCAGCGGAAGGTGATGGGTAGTGTCGCAGAGCTGGGTGAGAGAATTTGGTGGCTGAGAGCAAGGTGTGGCTGAGTGGGTGGGGCTGAGAATGTGGCACAGCAGAGATGGCCAGGGTAGCAATGAGCCAAAGGAGGGCTCATCTTGAGAATACCAAGGGGGACAGGTGGGGGCTCGGTAAGAGGAGGAGGGCAGTGGTATATAACATTTCCTTCTTTTTTTTTGAGTTGGAATCTCACTCTGTCACCCAGACTGGAGTGCAGTGGCCGCTCCCGGCCACCGCAGCCTCGACCTGCTGGGCTCCGGTGATCCTTCTGCCTCAGCCTTCCAATTAGCTGGAACTACAGGTGCACGCTACCACACATGGCTGATTTTTTATTTATTGTAGAGATGAGGTCTCACCAAGTTGCCCAGGCGGGTCTCGAACCCACAGGCTCAGGCAATCCACTCACCTCAGCCTCCCAAGCCGCGGGATTACAGGCTGAGCCACCGAGCCTGGCTGGTGTATAACATTTCAAAAGCTGATGACTGCATGGGAAGGGGGAGTCTCCTTATGAGGTAGAGGACATGACAATGTTGTGTCCCTGACTTCCTGAAGATCTCTTGACCCACTTAAAGTCAATCGCTTAAAGCCAGTGACTAGACACTAGTTTATGCCACTAGTTTACTCTAACTATCCACTCTTAGAAAGAAGAAGACTAAAGGTCTGCTGTCCTCCCACACCTCAGGGCTGAGAGAGGGTATTACAGAGGACCCCTATACCCAATATCCCATGTTTGCAAGGGGAGTAAGCTTGGCTATGCTAACCTTCTCTGTCTTCCTGCACTTCCCGAGGGTTGGGAGAGTGACTTGATGTGCTGGCGAGTTTAGTTGAAGGAGGGGGCACCTCGTTTGGGGTCAGCTTGTCCACAAGACGTGTGCTCAATTTGGTCAGCTTTACGCCATGTGTTGAGAAGCCTGGGCTCCCAGGATGGGCCTTTGGGTGTTAAGCTCAGCAGTGACCAGGTGAGTTTAATTCTGGGGTACAGTGACATCATTCTTACCTAGCCATGGACCAAAAGGCAGGCTCTCTGATAAGTGTTATGGGCAATTTTTTTTTTTAATGATATTTTTCTGTTCGGCTCTTCTTCTCAAATTGTTTTGCATTTGGATGATGTGGGGATGAGGAGCTTTTTTTTTTTTTTGAGTTGGAGTCCATCACTCAAGCTGGAGTCCAGTGGCACACTCACAGCCACCCCAGCACCAACCTGCTGGACTCAGGCGATCCTTCCGCCTCAGCCTTCCAAGTAGCCAGAACTACAGGCATGCACTACCACGCCTGGTTAAATTTTTTTTTTTTTTTTTTTTTGCTTTATAGTAGAGATGAGGTCTTGCCAAGTTCCGAGTTGCCCAGGCTGTTCTCGAACCTGTGGGTTCAGGCAATCCCCTCACCTCGGCCACCCAAAGTGCTGGGCTTTTTATCAACCCGTAAAACTACAAAAAAAGGAAAAGGAAGCCCAAAGAGTACCAAGACACCATCTCAATTGGACATGAGGCCCTCTAAGCTAGGAAATGACTAAGCTCATGGGGTATTCTGAAACCTTCCTCTTAACCTCAAAATTGGCACCTAGTTCTCCTCCATGTAAAATGGAGAGGTAGAAATGGATAAAAAGGGATTAGAAAAACCAGCCCAGGACAAAGGGCTGCCTGGAGACCCTCAAGACCCCAACATTATTGTACAACTCATAAGAAGTGTCTATTGAAAGGAGAGGACAGAACTCCTAGGACAGCCTGTGAAAGACAAGGTGTGCCAACAGGGAAAGTGCCAGTTGGGGAGAGCAATGCCTTACCTGGAGGACGTGCCCATGGCAGTAATGAGGGCCTGCAGCATGCCCCCGATGAAGGGGAAGGGGTTTCGGTGAGTGATAAGGAAGTAGATGAGGGGAAGGACGCCGCCAGCATGAAGGAACAAACCCACGATGACGGTCAGGGTGTACATGCCCAGCTGACCCCCCAGGACGGCCATGTCTTCCATCTCCAGAATCTTCCCAGCAATCAGGAACAGAATACCCACAGGTGCGTACCTAGACAAGCCACAAACCTGTTAGGGATCCCTCCTAACCTCCCCTACAGGTCCCCAGGGCTTTGCCCAGGTAGGGCCCAGGAGCCAGGAAATGCCCACTCTACAGCACCCTACTTCCTCCTAATCTCCGCCACACATTAACAGATGGCACTGAGCCCCATAAGCATGGCCTGTCCCCTCATCCTCCTGCACTCCCACCTCTCTCTGACAGCAGAAAAGTTCCTACAACTTCAGGACATACAACCTTATCAAGTCTCTCCTTTATTCGCTCCCCTAACTAAGCCTGCCCCACCCTGCCCCCAAATAAGCACTATCTTTAGGATCCTTCCCCAGACATTACCAAGACATTCCCTACCTCTGGCCATCTAAACTTCCTTTCCTTGCTGCCCTCAACTCTTGGCTCCACGTTTGAAATCTTCAAGCTCCTATTTTTTTTCTCTTTCTTATCAGCATATTCTCACTCATTCCCCAGCCTGAGCCATTTCACCAGTATTTTCCACTGATACCTCAAACAACGTATCCTGTCAAAACCACCTATAGGCCAGGTGTGGTGGCTCATACCTGTAAACCTAGCACTTTGGGAGCCAAGGCAGGAGGACTGCTTGAGCCCAGGAGTTCGAGACCAGCCTGGGCAAAATAGCAAGACTTTGCCTCTACAAAAAAAATTTTTTAAATTAGCCGAGTGTGGTGACACACACCTGTAGTCCCAGCTTCTAGGGAGGCTTAGGCAGAAGGATTGCCTGAGCCCAGGAGGTCAAGGCTGTGGTTAGCCATGATGATGCCACTGCACTCCAGCCTGGGTGACAGAGTAAGACCCTGACTCAAAAAAAAAATTATTTTTTAACCATGTATTCATTAATTCAGTATATATCTATTGAGCAAATGTTGAGCATATATGTTCCAGGCACATGGTTTCTTTCCTTAGGACCCTTACATTCTGTTATAGACTAAATATTTTGTACCTCCCCCCCCCCCGCTCCAAATTCATATGTTGAGATCCTAACCCCCAGTGAAATGTATTAGGAGGTGGAACCTTTGGGAAGTGATGAAATCAGGATTGTGGAGCCCTCCTGAATGAAATCAGTGCCCTCATAAAAGAGACACCAGGGAGCTTCCCTCACCCCTTCTGCCATATGAGGACATAGCGAGAAGATGCCTTCCCTGAACCAGAAGACAGCCTTCACGAGACACCGGATCTGGAGGTGCATTGATCTTGGACTTTCCACCCCCCATGACTGTGAGGCATAAATATTTGTTGTTTAAGCCATCCGTCTATGGCATTTTTGTTACAGCAGCCCATATGGCTAAGATATTCTAATGGGCAAAACAGAAGGTACACATAAAAAGGCACTGACTACAAACTCCAAGTGGTAACAACTGCAAAAGAGAGTCCCTGGATGGCACTGCTTCAGATTGGATGGTCACAGAGGGCGTCTCAGAAGAGGTGGCATTTAAGCTGAGGCTCAAATGATGAGAAGGGACCATGTGTATCTGGGGAAAGCATGGCAGGTACAGTGTAAAGACCCTGAGGTGGGCATGCACTAGGAGTGCCAGAGGACCAGACAGAAAACCAGTGTGGCTGGAGTAGTGAGTGAAAGGAAACTGCAGGAGACAAAAAAAATAAGTTCATCGGAAGCTCACCTGTTTTTCCCACAAACGAGTCTACTGCTCAATCATGTGAGTTTCTGCCAGTGGTATCCTCATCTGCTCATCCCTAGGCTTCAACTGTTACTCCTCTCTTCACAGAAATTGAACTACTCTGGGTCACATGCATGGTGAATGTATTGGAGGCAGTGGGGACCACTTGGGAAGTTGGGGCAATGACTTGAGTCAAAAATGAGGATGAGGGGGACTTCTAGCCACAACTCTGACCCTCAAACTGGGATCAGGGTCAGCACTGGGGAGGCATTGTGGACGTGTTTCTAAGTCAACAAGACTAGACCTACCTCTGTGCTTATTCTAAGTAACCCCTCTCTCAACTCCCTCACCTCCATCCTTCTACTTCATCCCCTGCAAAATTCCTCAACCCTTGATCAACTGCACATAATTTCTTGGCCCCTACATTCAGCCACCTGGTGCATCTGGACATTTTACACAACCAAGCCAATGACACTGTTATAAAGTCATGGTTCTTAATGTAGCTGAGTCTTCAATACTCCTTGCTAATCCTCTGCTTATCCCGCCTCCCATTCCCCTTAGATGCTTTTCCAAGGTCTCAATTTAACCCCAAGTCCCCTAAAAACCATTCAAATAATTTGGAATGATGTGCAAAGTCTTTTCCCATGTGGGATCAGGCAGCCTTGTTAACATCTTCCACCGCCATTCCCAACTCCCCCTATGCTCTCGCCTTCCAAAACTCCCCACCATTCTCCAAGCACTCAGGTACTTTCCAGCTTTGCATGTTCTCTTCACTCTGCTTGAAGTACCTCTCTCCTCTCACTGTCCGGGTGGACTATATTCACCTGCCAAGGCCCAGTTAAGAGGTGACCTTCTCCATCACTCCCTCTCACCCTCCCAGGCAGCATTCACTGCATATCCCTCCATCTGCTGCTCACTTCTCCATGTTCTCAACACTTTTTAAAAGTCCCTTTAGTATAGAATTGACCACGTTGGGTTATGTTTATCTAGTATGTGTCTGTGTCCTCCAAGACATTCTGAGCTCCTTGAGGTTAAGGAATGAATGCAATGTATCTCTGTATTCCAGAGTTCAAGACAAAGTTGGCCTGGGAAAATGCCTGCTAAATGAGTGATGAAATTTTTGAAGGAATGAAGAAATCTAGAGAATGAGTGAATGCATCAAAAGGGATGATTAGCTAGTGAATGAATGTGTAAGAAAATTGGCAAATGAGATATGAGTAGGTGAGTGAGTGAACGAATAAGTTAATGAATGAAGGGATTATCTGAGTAAATAAAAGAATAACAAAATATAGGGGAACAAATGGGTTAAAGAATGAATATAAGGCCAGGTGCAGTGGCTCACGCCTGTCATCCCAGCACCTTGGGAGAGAAGTGCTTGAGCCCAGGAGTTCGAGACCAGCCTGGACAACACAGTGAAAACTGTCTCTACAAAAATAAGAAATAAATAAGTAAATGAATATGAAAAATTTAAATGAGTCAATGGCTTAATTAATGATGCATCAATAAGTTTGTGAATAAATTTGTGAGTGAATATATGAATGAGTGAATTAACTGATGCATACAAGAATAAATGAGTAAGAAAATGGATGAACCAATGCATAAAAGAATGAGAATAAATGAGTGAATGAATAAACGAGGGAGTGAATGAGTGAATAAATCACTGAAGGTATAAATTAATTAATTAATGAGTTAGTTGTTGAGTGAATTAACTAATACATAGAAGAATGAATAAATGAGTGAGAAAATGAGTGAACCAATACATGGAACAATGCATATAGATGAGTAAATGAGTGAATGAATGATTTGGTCAACGTATAGAAGAGTGAATGAGTGAACAGATGAACCAGGGAATGAATGAGTGAATAAATCATTGCAGACAAATGAATGAATGAAGTGTTAGTGAATTGGTGAGTGAATTAACCAAGGCATAGAAAAAAAGAACAAATGAATGAGAAAATGAGTGAATCAACACATGGAAGAATTAGAACAGATGGATAAATGGGTGAATGAATGATTTGGTCAACACACAGAAGAATGAGTCAATGAATGGATGAACAAGGGAGAGAATGAAAAAATAAATCATTGCACAAAGACATGAATGAATGAGTTAGTGAGCTGGTAAGTAAACTGCCCAATACATAAATGAATGACTTTGGCCAGAAGTTCCCAACAAGCCTTCAGCGGCTTCCCCACAGCCTGACTTTCCCACCCTGGCTCCACCTGCCCATTGCCACAGCCCAATACTCACCAGATAATGATGCCCACCAGCCTCATAATAGCCTCGTTGAGGCTGTCGAAGAAGTCCCTCAGGACTCGTCCCTTGTGTTTCATGCCTCCAATGACTAGCCCAAAGGCCACAGAGAAGACCACGAGGCCAAGGGCATTGATGCCATTGGCTGAGCCAGGCACAGGCACAGTCTCCTCAAAGCTCAGCACCTCCTGCAGGGTGCCCAAGGCCCGAGTGACATTTTCCAGGAGGCTGGTTCCATTCTCCACCGAGAATGGAGGGGACATGGAAGCACCTGGCTCAGACCCATTCTCTGTTCTTACGACAGTCCTGGTGACCACCCTTGTGCTATACTGCGTCTTGAACTGAAATAGAAAGAGAGAGTGATTGGGTTCAGACTTAGCTTAGAAAATGCATCAGAATCACCTAGAAAAATTCCTTGAGAACACCAATTCCTGGTTCTCACCCTCCGGAAAGTTTTTTTCAGCAGATTTGAATAAGTGAATGAATGATTCAAGCCAATACATAAAAGAATGTGTGAATGAATGACAACTAAAGCCATTATGGGAAAAAGCATGGAGGTTCCCCCAAAAATTAAAAATAAGCCGGATGCAGTGGCTCACACCTATAATCCCCACTTTGGGAGGCTGTGGCAGGAGGACCACTTGAGGCCAGGATTTTGAGACCAGCCTGGGCAACATAGTGAGGCCTCATCTCTATTTTTTTTTTTAATTTTTTTAATGAGCTGGGTGTGGTGGCTCTCACCTGCAGTCTCAGCTATTTAGGAGGCTGAGACAGAAGGATCACTTGAGCCCAGAAGGTAGAGGCTGCAGTTGAGCCATGGTTGTGCCACTGCACTCTAGCCTGGGCAACAGAGTGAGACTCCAAATCAAAAATTTAATTTAATTTAATTCAAAACTAAAAATAGAACTACCACAGGACCTAGCAATCCTACTACTGGGTATATATCCGAAATAAACTCAAAATCGGTATCTCAAAGGGATATCTGCATCTCCATGTTTACTGCAGCATTACATACAAGTGCCAAGATATGGGAATAACCTAAGTGTCCATCAGTAGCTGAATGAATTTTACAAAGTCATACTATATATAATGGAATACTATTCAGCCTTTAAAAAAAGGTCTGAGTTGGAATGATCACTTGAGCCCAGGAGTTTGAGGCCACAGTAAGCTATCATCACACCACTGCACTTCAACCTAGGTGACAGAGCAAAATCCTGTCTTTTTTTTTTTTTCCTTCCTTTTGAGTTGGAGTCACTCTGTTACCCAGACTGGAGTGCAGTGACCACTCCCAGCCACCGCAGCTCGACCTGCTGGGCTCCAGTGATCCTTCGGCCTCAGCCTTCTAGTAGCTGGAACTGCAGGCGCGCACTACCACGCCCGGCTAATTTTTTGATTTATTGTAGAGATGAGGTTTCGCCAAGTTGCCCAGGTGGGTCTCGAACCCGCAGGCTCCGACAATCCACTCATCTCAGCCTCCAAAGCATGAGATTACAGGCTGAGCCACCGAGCCCAGCTCATATGTGCTCTAATATGTGAACGTTAAGAGTTGAAGTCGGCCAGGCCTATAATCCCAGCACTTTGGGAGGCCGAAGTGAGAGGACGGGCTGAGCCCATGGGTTCGAGAACAGCCTGGGCAATTTGGCAAGACCTCATCTCTACAATAAATAAAAAAATCAGCTGGGTGTTGTGGTGCATGCCTGTAGTTCCAGCTACTTGGAAGGCTGAGGTAGAAGGATCACCTGAGACCAGCAGGTCAAGGCTGCAGTGGCCAGGAGTGTGCCACTGCACTCTGGCCTGGGTGACAGAGTAAGACTCTAGCTAAAAAAAAAAAAAAAAAAAAA